CTATTACATTAGTATTATTGTTTTTAATCATACATTAGCAATGGGTGTTTTATTCCTTTAATTTTGTATCTTTCTATTTATTTTTTATTATTTCTCTAGTGTGGTTAATTTTGCTATATGTTTTATCTGTTATATCGTTAGTAGTTATTTTTACTGATCGGGTCTTCTATTCTTTGTATTCTACCTTACTTCTATATGATTCTAATTCTCTGAATTTATTTTTGCCTTATCCCCTCCTGAAATGTTTTTAATCCTGGTTTATTTTATTATTATTATTATTATTAGTAGTAGTAGTAGTAGTAGTAGTAGTAGTAGTAGCAGTAGTAGTAGTAGCAGTGTTGTTGTTGTTGTTGATAGACTAGCATCACCCCTTTGCTTTTTATCAATGTGTTATTCTTACTATCTATTTGTTTGACTTTGTTTTGCCACCATGCACACCAAACAAAGGATGCTTGCCCTCATCTTTTTCAATGGATGAGCTTGATAATAGTGATGTCCCAGCTGTCACTATTCGGTCTGACAGCTGTAGAGCACGGAGGGTGAGGGTACGATACATCTGAGACAACAATACAGTGAATATCTCCACCTTGTCCAAGAGCTACTCTTAGATGGGGCCGGGTTACAAGCTTGTTTTAGGCTAACCAAGGGGCAATTTGATCTATTTCTACAGTAGCAGTTAGCTCAGACAACATTCAGCCTGTGCATCCGTCTAAAATGAGTTAATAGTTGACTGAAAATGAGCGACAGTGACAGCACCAGTCTTTCTGAAAAGTTCAGAGAATTTCAAGCGTTTGGAATGGCTGCACAAAAATGTCGGAGCACACTGAAAAAAGACAGAAAAAACAATGCTATAAGCACACAAGCCCTTAGGATCTTATTCATATTTGCATATTTTATAAGGCAAAATGTGTCATCTTTAAGAAATGCTTCTCTATATAGCACATTGACTTCTAAAGTCAAATTATATGTACATACAAGAGAAGAGAGATACTGTAGTTACAAGGCTTTCACCCTTCAGCAGTCATAGGTATCAGGCTAACATCCCACTGAAGTGTGTTTGAAAGTAACAGGAGGTCAGCAGTTAAATGAACTTTTGTCCTGTTTTACTGAGAGGATCCTTCATCTGCATTGAGCCAGAAGTAATGAAAGTGTGGTGGAGCATTGAAGATTGATGCCAGAGAACTCCCAGACCTCTTTCCTCTGCTTTTTACCCTCTCTCTTTCATCTATAAACACTTTGTCTCTTCTTTCCCGCCTTCCTGTTTTTCAAATGCTTTGCTTTGCTTTGTGTCTCTGCCACTGCCTCAGTCTTTTTCTCCTCACTGCACCTCTCTTCCCCCCTTTCAGGACTCTTCCTCTAATTGTCTCCATCTGTGTATCTCGCTCTCTCCTTTCTGCCCTCTCCATCTCAATCTTCTTTTTGAATCTCCTTTCTAAAACTAAAGTGGCTACTCTGTCTAAACAAGAACAATTCAGCAATCACTCAGACATCTGTGACCTTTTCAGAGCTGAATTGATATGTAAATGTCACAATTACCACTATCACCAGTAATGTTTATGTTCTTGTGTAGCTGTGTGGCATGAGACTGGAAAGATCCAAAATGCAGTGGTTCAACAATTAACGAACAACAGTACAAGAAAATTTGAGACAAAATCTGTCTGACATGTAAAAGAGGTTAATGTGACATTTTCGGCGCGCTGCCTAGACTCAGCTGAGTGGTCAAGTGAGCAATGGCATCTTCTGGGTTATCAAGTGGGCACCCTCTTTCCTTAGTGTTTTGCTGATAGGCACACAACACCTCCAGAGGGATCAGCAATGAAATCCAACATCCCAGGCTCACCACCTAGATGTCATCTGGTCACTTCAGGACCCAGATCTTTTCTCTTTATCAAGAGCCACTAACTGCACTTTTCAGCAGCTCTGGAGAGGTCTGTGACTGCCCCAAACTCCTATCTCCCAGAGTAGCTGGCTATAAACCCTCTGCAGCCTACCTCAACGGTTCGGACCTTTCCCTTCCAACCACATCGCTGAGCGTCAGATGCTAGCTCAGAGTACATCAGTTTCTTGCGCTCTGAGGCCTCCTTCACTGCATCCTCCCAGGGCACTGTGAGTTTGATGATGCAGACAAGGCGGAGCGTGGCCAACCATAGCAAAAGATCTGGTCTGAGGTTGGCTGATGCGATCCTGTCTGGGAAGCTGAGCCTCCCATCTTTCAGTTGTGTGCCCCGCACAGTTGCCCAATATCTTGGCTCGATCCGGCAAGTCTGGCTTGACCTTCATCTTCCCTCATCTTTAGACAAATACTGTTGTCAGGCTAGGGTAAGGCTAGTCTTGTAGCCCACTAGGATATGCTTTAGTGTTGCTGGTGTAGAGCAAAGGGAGCATGTAGGTAAATTGTAAAAATATTAACCATTAGATTCAGTAAAAAATGTTATATATGTTGTATTAGTTATTATTGTGCAATTCATATGTGTGAGGAGTTAAAAGCAAGATGTGCATGTTCTGTAAATGTGCCCCCGAATGAGCCACTTTCATTGGAATGAATAGGGCACAATCTGGGAACACAATATCCTATTACTCACTGGTAGAGATTCTGACTTAAAGTTTTGTCATCTTTGTAAAGAGTGCCCCTATTTTTTCCAGACTTATTATCCTAAAAAGGGCCCCTATCAGGGCCTGGATAACTGAACTGGTAGAGCTGGCGCCCCATGTACCAAGGCTGAGTCCCAGGGTTTGGATCTGACTTGCTGATGGTGATGATGATATATACTTCTATATATATTCTTGGGGTTAGGTTGCCTTGCTTCTGCAGTGCACAGGAGGTGAAACTGGCACCTCTTCAGCTACCAGTCCACACTCCATATTGTGGTCTGTGGGACTTGAACCGGCGACCCCCCAGCTCCCAAGCCAAGTCCCTACACACTGAGCTGCTGCGTGTCATCCCCTCTCTCTCTCCCCCTTTCCTGTCTCTCTCCAGCTGTCTTTATCCATCAAAGACATTAAAGGCTCCTATCAACCAGTCAGCATAATGAATAAAATAAAAACATTTTCTGTTTCTGTTATCACTTCACTTTAAATGTTTTATTGTTAGGATTTAGAAAAGGTGCTTTCTAGTTTGAAAATTCATTTTCAGACTTCTGTTAGTTATAACCTTTGTATCTCTTAACACATTGCAGCAAAACATAATTAAATAAATGTAATAATTATTTGATTCATTTGGAAATACAAAACAGATGACACTCTTATAAGGTCTTCTTTTTATTTTACAGTATAATAAGGTGTGATAAAGTGTTACAAAAGCTGGAATTTGATAAATATCTTACCTCCTTTATCCAGTCTGTTCTCACAGGGCATCTAATGCCAGCAGATTTTTATCTAACTCTAATATAACTTGTATTATTCACTAAGCTTTGAACTTTACATCATTTTCTGCTTATGCTTCCTTTATTTTCATCTTTGCTTGGACTCCAGGTAATTTGAACTTGCAATCATTTGAATAAACCATCTGAAGTGATAATTTTTCACTGAATAATAGCCTATAAGCTTGACTGTAGGGGCATTTGGTTTTATTTAACTGGTTTTTGTGTGTGTGTTTTTTTTTTTTTTTTTTTACCCCAAGTGGTTATTGATTGGGCACTTCATTTGCCCATTCATGGTGGACTTTGATGATAGGGCGTGTAAAAGGGACTGTTAAACTTGATGACATACCAAGACACGAGCTGGGAGGTTTTATATGGCTGATCTCTTGTAAGATTCCACACACATACACACACACACAGTCTTCATGCATGTGATCCCAGCCCTGGTGGGGTTTAATGATGCTGTTTAGGAGCTGTATTGAAGGAGCTAGAGTTGGTTTAACTACGCAAAACACAATCACACATGCACACACACACACACCTTTACCATTTCTCAGTTCACATATACTCACAACACCCCTAAAGCTATGAAGTCCTGTTGCACACACACTAAGATCCCGTACTGAACTCTATGGCTCGGCCTAACTTGGGTTCTCTCAGTCACATTGATGTGTGTAAATGCATTGAAGCACCCTATGGTGCTTTTAGTCTTCATAATTGTTTGCTGAGAAGCTCTGGTCACTCAGTTAGCCCAAGCAGCTTTCAACCATTTGCAACCATAGGTGCAACAGTTGTTGCAGCCCCTTCATCTTTCTTCATCTTTGTAAAATCTCCTGAACAAGATAATAATCCTCTCCAGTGAGGATATGTTGGATCATATGCACATTTTTTGTTGGGTCCCATACATATATGGCATGTTCAGAGCGTGAAAAACTTCTCCTCAATCATTTCATTGACAAAAAAAACCTGGGTTGTCCGGTAAAGGAGTTGCAACTGGCTCAACATATGTCCCAATGTATTAGACGTAAACTGGCAACACAACGTATCAAGCAATCAAATACATATAAGAACCTAGCATGGGGTGATTCTACTGTTTACCTGCCAGCTGGCAATCACCATCTCAACTTTCCAGTGTTTTAGCATCTGATGACTTCAGACTCATCAGTTTGTTCCTCAAAATGCATGTATCCCATTTCATCATCACAGTGCTATTTCTGCTCCAAAGTTTGTGTTTGGGTTTAGGCTTAGGACTAGGAGCAAGCAGAGGTTTACTTGGGCTGAGGTTAGTGTTAATCACCAACCATTTTAAAAAATCCCATCCTGTTTCCATTGGTTAAAATATTAATGGGTGACTTCTTCTTAAAAAAATAAAAACATTTGAAATAAATAAATAAATAAAGCACTTCCTCTGCTTAATGGGAGACCCTGTTTGATGTTCGGGCTTGGCTTTGAGCTCAGTGTGTGCTGTGTTACTGTGCAACAGCCCTTGCCTCAGGAACCTTTTCATGATCCCATGGGGTTTTTTATGGAACTGTTGAACTCTTTCTTTGGGACTATTGCTGAAAATGGGCTAATGTTAAGTATAGAAATAAAAAACTGTAGAAACTGCATAAATGACAATATGATCCATTTGAAATCCAGGTGCCGACATGGCATACAGGAAGGTGTGTGATGCCCAGGGTGGCCCAATGGTAGGGGAGGTTCTGCACTGCTCTGGAGGTCTGGATCTTGACTGGGACCTGGACAAGGAGGAGCTACAGGAACAAGGACCCAGCATGGACCGCATGCAGATGCAACATGTAGACTGCCAGAGATCAGGTAGGATACACACTCACAATTTCCTATAACCTTTGTGTCGGTTAAGGTTTTAGACTAATTTTCTAATTAACTGAATGAAATGCACAATTTATAAATTTATAAATGCTTTCTAATCCTAAATTGTGATACAACAGCCACTTCACAACTCATAATACACAAAGATACAATTGTGTCATGTCATGCAGCTGATCTCATTTAAAGCAATTATGATGTGTTTATGATGAGGTGATTAGTTTGCTCTACTAACGGGAGAATTACAGCTCATATTAAATGTAAATGAATACTGTCTGATGTCAAGACAGTTAACATTATGTTTTTGTGAATTATTTATAAAACATTTGCTCACATTAATGATAATCACACAGCTCATAACTGTCAAAAAAATAGGAGTTTGGGAAGTAAGAAATATTACTCAAATGAGCTCTTTAGCAATGTTAAATGTCATTTATATATTTATGTCTGTACTTGCTGCTGTGATCTGCCTTAATGTAATAAGCATTGGCTTATACACAGCCTTCTCATGCCAGATCCATCATACATGTGTATGATCTTTTTCTGATGCATATCATATCAAGTCATATCATACGTCCTAAACATGTTTACAATCAATGATTCAGTGTTATTTGTGTTGATGTTGGTAGGTTTTTTCAGCATGTCAAAAGAAGTTTATTTCTCATGCTTTTGATATCTTAAAATGTGTTTCTGCAGAGGAATTCTTCAGAAAATCTTACACATAATTTGAGACAACCTGTCACTGTGAAAAATACTGTATTTAATGTGAGAAGTTTGCCAGTGCCAGCAGCTGGAAAAGTGAGAAACTTCATAAGTACCCTAAAGCTAGACTTGAGTTCCTCGGCTTTGAAGGACTCTGTTGTGAATTGTGCCTGGAGTTCTGTATCAGTGGCAGTTTTCTATCCTCACAAATGCCTTCTCAAGCAAGTGGGCTGATCGTTTCAAAACTCACAACTAAGAAATAAGTTTTTATTCCATTTCCCATTTACAGTTAGTTTCACCATTATTGTCTGTTGTTAGTAAGTTATACCCAACTCCAATTGTCTCTCTTGTTTAAAATTTCAAATGTCCTATGTTTTTTATGTTTTAGTTTCCCTTGATTATGCCTGATCAGTCCTTCCAGAAAAATGCTGATTGTTGCGGGCAAAAATCCTTGATTATGTGGCACGTTTTCTTAAAAAATGCGATGGAATATGCGGGATATTTATGCAATTTTATGAGATGAAATTGCGGGAACTTGCAAAAACTGCGGTTTGATGAAAAAGAGAAAAAAAAAGTGATTCCCCCAACACCCTGTTCTCACTAGGCTACTACCTTAATGTAAAGAGTCATTTCTTATTACGTCCTTTGATAAGCAAGCATACTACATCACAGAAAGTGCTGGGAATATTTAAGTTCTCATCTTGTTTTATTTCAGACCTTAATAAACACATGGCTCAAACTTACAAAACATTGATGAGTCAAACAAGTTCTGTAGCTTTACAAAAGGAATATGCTACAACTTCTGTAAAAATGAATAAATAAAATATAAATAAATAAAATGTGTGCTTCCTGTTTTCCAGAGGTAGCTATACAAAACAGACATCTTCTGTTAAAATAAGTGCTTCCAGTGCACAAAGTGCAATCTCTTACTGTAACGTAAATCTACATACTACTAATATACTTACAACTGTAAGGTTTTCATCGCAGGGTTTGCAGCTTTTCGATGATGTTGCGTAATTACGTCACTTCATAACGTTCCCATGGCAACAGGGGAAAATGGCTGCTCTTGTGTAGTAAGTAAACGCAAGATTTTTCAACTTTCTGCTAAGATATATGTGACTTTTTTGCAACAAAAATGCGGGGATTATGGTAGAGTTGGCGACCCATGTACACAGTTGCTGCAGTGACCCGGGTTCGAATACGACCTGCAGTATCCCAGGATTTTCCTTTATTAGGCCTAGTATATGGCTGCCCTCATAAAGCCTTGACCACCCTCTGGCCACCCCTTGTATAAAAGTCAAGCTCCGCCACTGTGGTTGTAGAGACATTATAGTTAAAACCACAAATGTCAACCTCATGGTAGTGCTGGAAGAAAAGTCAGGGGATCAACAAAATCAGTAGGCTTTGTAGTCTGGGTGCAATCTATGTCTGTATAAAACCAATCAATAGTTTTTCTAATGAATGTCAGTATGGATAAAAATTAGGAAGAATCTACTATGGTAATCATCTATAATGAGTCAACCTCTTTCAGAGCTTTATGTCTTATCTAAGGTTTCTTTTGCGAACTAGTCTGAACTTCTCAGTTCATTATCAAGGGGAGTTATTAATGAGTGCAGACAAAAACGCATCTGGCCACAATTGGATGGATCTACAACCAATCAGAGTGACACAACGTGTGACATAGCTCAGTTGGTAAATGAAACTTACCAATGATGTCTGAAGTACGGCAAACACATCTTTCTTATCAACAAAAGCTTATTTGCTGAAACAATAGTGAAATCTCCGCTGTTTGTATCCCCTTACTTCAGAACCAGAGTATTGCTGAGTCAGTTGAAAAGGATGTCCGGATGATCCTCTCTCCTCTCAATGCTGTTAGACCTGTAACACCGCAGATGCCTCTGAAGCCTGGGGTGTTCTCTCCTGGGGCCTCCAAGCGCTACAGTGACTTCTTTGAGAAGACGAGTCACGGCGTGTGCAACCGGGCTCATGCTGTAGAAAGCGAGCCCTCTGAGGCATTAGGTTTTGCAGGGCAACCACCCCTGTGGTTTTGTTGGGAGGGGCTTAACGGTGTGATAAGAGCAGCGGGGAGAGACGTGGAAGGTTTGCATTGTGTATGTTCAAGTTACCTACTGCAGCATTAAGTGCAGTTGTTTGTTCTTTCAGTGAAAATATACTGTCCAGTTTGTTTAATACTGATGTGATAGCGTATTCAGCAGCCATCTTGGTTGGTTGTGACAACAGCAAATGGGGTGATGCTCCTCTACAGTTGCAAACCTTACTCATATTTGATAACTAGAACTGTTGTGATTGGCACATCCAGATCTAGGACTGGTGGAAATCTTTCTGAATGAGAGCGGTGTCAGAAACATCTACCAGAGCAAATAAAACATGAGTTTACAGATTTATCTGGTTTTCTTTCTGCTGATAAATGGGAATCATATTTTATTTTGGACTGCTCATTGAGGGTCATTATCTTAGCTATAAAGTGTTTACACAGTTGTTATGGAATGTCTGTACCAAATTAGTATACAGCTTTGATGTTTGCAGGTTAATGTGACCCAGATGCTTATACGTAAATTAGCACATACACAAAATAATAATGTGTCTTTGCTCTTACGACTTGTTTTATTCTGTTGACTGGTTGGGACTGGTCTGTCAGGGTAAAAATTTTCCCCTCAGGGTGAATTGTAATATATTTAGTGACCCTGTCACTTTTCATGTAATGCCATAAGCGGGTAAAAAATTTATATTTTCCAATACTTTGATGACCAAAAACCTGCCAAACTAATGACATCAAATCAGCCTGAGCTGCACTTAGGGTTTAGTGCTAATTAGCAGATGTTAACAGCTTAAACTAAGGTAGTAGTTATGGTAAACAGTATACCTACTGAGCACCAGAATTCCTACATTATGTCAATAGCCCATAAACACAATATATTTTTTTTTCTCTTTTTTTTCTCTCTTTTTTTTCTCTCTAACTACTATCACTTTCAGGGTGTTCAGACCCTGGCCCTGACCCTGACCCTGAGCTGATGGAACCCATCCAGCCATCTGTCTCAGTTTCACCACATGGACGTTTTGAACGACTCCAGGAAGATCCGAACTACATATCCCACTTCACCAGGGCTCCGGGCCATAAAGGCCAACGACGACTCCACTGTTTCCTGCTCAGGTAATTCAAGGACTGCTGAAGTGGCTTAATAGAACTCAAGTCAGATATTGCTACAGGCACAGCAGGGTCATATTTACAAATTCTGTGTATTTCTGTGTGATCTGCTACAGCAGGATAGGTGTCATCAAATTTACTTTAAGGACAAGAAAACAAACAAACCAAAATAATTTAGGACCATGAAGCTGTTAAAAGTAATGTAGAATACTTACAGTCCATGCCACCATGTCAATTTGACCTCAAATAACTCTGTTACTCCATATGCTGCTTTTGAGGGGCAACCAGCCTTATGATGTCAGTAATTCTGCAACACTGAATGAGCATGTTGTTTGAGCAGTTATGTAGTTGTGGATTGGCCATAATTTAAATCCGTACATTTGAGATGTCCCTGTTTAAACTCTGACCAGTTGATGACCATACTGAGGATTCTGGGCCTTGATTTGCCAACAGGTACAAAAAAAACCTGCATTGATCATTCCAAGAAATTTTTCCTTTCAATATTTACTAAAAAATGTAAAAATAAATTAAATGATCTTGGCTCGTTACTTACAGAGGACTATAACAAAAAAGTGCACAAATAAAGTATACCAAGATTATTGTTTTTGAGTGTCTAACTGTACATAAAGGTCAGGCTAGAGTCATCAACAGTGCATGACAAGAGGCAATAATTGCCATTGTATAATTTCCTCCAACGCTTTCTTTGCTTCCATGCCAAAAATTAAAATTTTTGTTTGAATCTTATAGTCTTCCAGAGGATGACCTGTGTTGCCAAACCATCAGCCTCCTGACTAAGTGTTTCTTCCTCACTACTATACTGCTACACAGAGACAATCTTTGGAGAAAATACATTTTTGCCAATTTTGTATTAATTTAGTCATTAGGGTCATTCATTGCATTAGGTCTATGCAATGGATGGCTTGTCATGTCCTCTGAATCTTGATAGAAACATGGTACATTGATGGTGTTTCATAAGCCGCATTATGGAATATACTCTTTCCTCTAATATAAATTTGATTGGAAGTGGAACTACCTGAAAGTGCCTTCGTCTTTTCACTGCAGCAACCGCATATCATCTACCCTGACACTAGTGCTTGATTGTGCCTCATATCGTCATCGTGCCAGTATATATTTCTATCACCCCATTCATCGCCATTAAAGGACTGCACCAGATAGGGTAAGAGTGAGGCCTGAGTACCCCTAGAACATTCCCAGACACCCATTCCAATTGACACAGCACCTGCTAGTATGGAAAGGTTGCATGTTATCTAGATAAGCACCACTCCAGGGTGCTTGAAGTCAAGATCTGAATGGTGCCCTTAGGCATTAAGCCACTAGCACCAACACTGACTCAGCTGCTATGAAAAGGTAATAGCAGCCAATCGAATGTCAAACTGCCCATCAAGCACAAGCACTGTCTTAGCTTTAAGTCGGTAGAAGTGCCTGAAGGACTCTGTACTGGTCAGTGTTTCCCCATTCCTACAGGAACAATTTCTTACAAAGGTCCATTATATCCAGAATTTCTTGAGCAAGAGTTCATTCTTGACCTTTGAAACAGTAGTTTGATGAAGAAATCTGAGCTCAAGATCCACTTACTAGCTTTTTCCAGAACATCTTCCTAGCTTTCTTATACTAAACAACCTCCATCTACTGGGGAATACCACAAGATGCTTTTGAAAGCTAAAAAAAGAAACTAACGGACATAACATAATCTCTTGATTTACATCTGACCTTTCCTCATTTTTCATAGATACTTCCTGGCAGAGTAAGAGAGAAGTGCTGACAAGAACATGTTGAATAGAAAACACAAACACAAAACAAGGCTTAAATGTCTAGAATATAATAACTTGCAGCATGGATGGATTGTTTTTGACACTGGAGACCCCTATCGCCTACCAACAATGTTTTTTTCTATAATCATGATGACAATCCTTCCATAAACCTTAACTAAGTAGTTTTAATTGTCTAACTAGGAATCTGCAATCACTTACAAACAATGTCATTCTTCCGATCTAGGGATGATAGATAAAAAATGCTCATGGGTTGATTTGGAAGGCAATAACAGACAACTTATTTTGTGGTTTAAATGTGGTTTTGTGGACTTTTTGATACAGTTAGAGAAAAGTGAGAATATTGGTGATTAAGATAAGATATTCCTTTATTTGTCCCACAATGGGGAAATTCCAATTTCCGATTAAGGCACTAAAATAAGTAAAGAGAAAGATCAAATTTGAAAAGAAAAGAGGATTTTAGGAAGGAGTTGTTGGAAAAGCAAATTAATGGAGTTAAGTTGAAGGGATGTTCATAGGAGGTGACAGAGAGGTAGACAAACAAACAGAGAGGATCATAGTTTGATGCTTCCTATGACCTAAGATCAGATTTACATCTGACCTTTCCTCATTTTTCATAGATACTTCCTGGCAGGGGTTGGGGTTTTTGTCCTGGGTCTCCTGATTGGCTGGTTCGCTCACACACCGGCTGTCAAACCACCTGTTCTTCTATCTGACAGCTCAGACCTGCTTGAGGAGCTTCTGAGGGGAATCACAGCTGACAAAATAGATGCTCTTCAGAGGTAAGCTCCCAACATGCACTTAAATAAAAGAGAGAGAATTGCACTTTTGTTGTGGATACACAGTAGAAAGAAAGACCATAGGTGGTGTGTGACTTTGTGTGGAACCACACACTCAACAGCCCTTTTCCAGCCCAGGCTGGCTTCACAGTAAGAGAGAAGTGCTGACAAGAACATGTTGAATAGAAAACACAAACACAAAACAAGCTTTAAATGTCTAGAATATAATAACTTGCAGCATGGATGGACTGTGCAAACTAATTTATCTGTTATTTTTGTGGTTGCTGTGTTAATGTGTCTGGTGGTAAAGAGAGTTGACAGATAAAGACGAACCACAGTGAGAGTCAAGACAACAAATTGTTGTATTTGTTTTACAAATTTACAAAGCATGAATCACCTTTTTGAATCAGAAGATTGAGTGACTAAAACAGTTTGGATTTACTGATTCTTTACTCAGGCTTCAGTAATTGCTTTCCAGCATAATTTCTCTCTTTTTTATATTAAAAATAATTTGAAAGTTCAGGTGAATGTTTTTTCTAAAACTATAATTGGTATTCCAATTTGCTTCAGAATGCTTGTCTGGCTGCTGACAGTACATTGACTCATAATTGTGTTGTGTTAGTCAGTGATATGCAATCCAGTAGAACATTGACATTGATGCAAAAATGTAAATCAAATAGTAACAATAACACTTTAACAAAGAAGGCAAAGTCCTCCTTTTTAAAAACCTCAAGAATATTGGCATATCCAATGTCATCAGAAAGTGCTCCATTTGGAGTAATGCCTAGGAATATCCAAACAGAATATGCTGTATGCATGTTGTAAGTCTCAGCCACATTCAATTTTATATCTCCATTAGGCCTTTTAATATTGAAAGTTTCAGTCTAACTCCTTTCAATCACTCCCACAATATTCCCCTAACCATAACCAAGTAGATTTAGTTACCTATACCTAACCAAATCCTACTCATGGAGACAAAGTGTCCAATTCTGGCATTGGAGACCACTGTTTACATCTCTTTCTTGTAACCTTGACCGTGATGTAAAAGCTTCCTACTTTGTGACCGCTTCCTGTCTGCTACCAACAGTTCACAAAGGTTTCTTGTTATCATGAAAATTAAATTTGCCTAACCTGAGCCAATGTATGTTTAATTGCCTAAACCTAACCAAACATTAACCATAGAGACCATATAGACGGTGTCCAACTTTGACACAGTAGTTTTAATTGTCTAACTAGGAATCTGCAATCACTTACAAACAATGTCATTCTTCCGATCTAGGGATGATGGATAAAAAAAAAATGCTCATGGGTTGATTTGGAAGGCAATGACAGACAACTTATTTTGTGGTTTAAATGTGGTTTTGTGGACTTGTTGATACAGTTAGAGGAAAGTGAGAATATTGGTGATTAAGGCACTAAAATAAGTAAAGAGAAAGATCAAATTTGAAAAGAAAAGAGGATTTTAGGAAGGAGTTGTTGGAAAAGCAAAGCAGTGCTGTTATGATGGAGTTAAGTTGAAGGGATGTTCACAGGAGGTGACAGAGAGGTAGACAAACAAACAGAGAGGATCATAGTTTGATGCTCACTATGACCTAAGATCACCATAAGAACAGTCTGACTTTTTGCCTTCTAGCCAGGCATTGATCTATTTATATCCAAAGAGAAAGAAAAATATAGTTGAGAGAAAAAGGAAAACAAAAGATAAAGTCTCTCCACCAGGTAGCAAATCTTTTTTCTAACACTGATACAAACCTCCGTCAACCCGAACACTGCCTTCTCCAAGCCAAAGGATCACGGGATGCCTGGGTGTATGTGTCTCTGTGAGATAACTGGCTTTGCCACTGAACTGAGACAATCATGTCACCATGGTTTCCCTCTCTGAGTTTTCCACACTTTTCATTATTTATTTTCTCATTTATATTTCAAGGTGCCAGAAACACCCCCATCCACTCACCCAATACCACCAAAGACCCACACACACACATCTCAAACATGCATGAGGATGATGGAGTGATTCTTTCGGTTGATGAATGACAGCAACAGTTACTAATGAAATGAAATGCTCATTTTTACTATCTACTAGTCCTCAGTTAATTATACATAATTTATTATGATTTATTTATCAGTGATCTCTGTCTATTCTGTGCCTGTTGGAGAATAGCATGAACTGTAACTGAGCCATTGTGGCCTGTAGTTGACTTTTACTGTACAATGAGCCATATTTTCACAAAGTAGAGGATTAAATTGGCTAATTAGAGATGAGATAAAACAGAAACCTCTAGTCAAGCAGCAATATGAGGTCATGTTATGGTTTTGGACCTTATGAACTCTTAACCGACATTATTTCCTTTGTGCTATGGAGCAATATAGACACTGCACTTTCAGTAATAAAACAGAAAGATACAATAGTGCCAGTAAATCTTGAGGAACAGTGTTGCTATTGTCTGACTGGTGACATGTTAGGAGTCTGTAACCTAATGACTATAGTCCTGTGATTGGATGATTGGATTATTGAATGATTGACGCAGCTGCTATATGTATACATATTGTGTTGAAGTGTCATGCTGCCTGTATACACGATGAAGGTCATATAGACTAATACTGTGGCTGTGGCTGTGGCTCAGAGGCAGAGCGGGTCGTTCCTTAATCGGAAGGTTGTGGGTTCGATCCCCGGCTCCTGGTGCCACATGTCGAAGTATCCTTGAGCAAGATACTGAACCCCACACCCCAAATTGCTCCCGATGCCGTGCATCGGTGTGTGAATGTGTGTGAATGTTAGTTTCTGTTCGAGTGAATGTGTGTGAAAGGGTGAATGTGGCACGTAGTCGGAAGTCTAGAAAGGCGCTATACAAGTACAGGTCCATTTACCATTTAATACGTGGTGTAAATATAATACTATTATACTACTATATATAATATTTTTTCAGGCGTAAGCAAGACAGTTTGTCCCTCATTGTTTTCAAGTCGCACCTTCCGTAAATGTCCCACATTTATGTGTGCAGACCTTTTTTTCTATATATTCAACTTTATTAAAGGTCCAGTGTTTAGTATTTAGTGGCATCTAACTGTGTAGTTGCAAATTGCAACTCACTCGTATCACCCTCCCAGTCTAACTGAGTGAGAGAAGCTATGGCCGACAAAAAAAAAACGCAAACAGATAGCCAGTGTTTGGTTTGTCCGTTCTGGGCTGTTAAAACATGCCGGTTTAACATGAAGGCCTTCACAGAAGGTGCCCCGCAGTGTCTGTAGATATAAACAGCTCATTCTAAGGTAAAAAAAAACTAAGTGCAAAACCCCACAACAAATGATTTTACCCTATTAAAAACATTCCTTTACCTTATAAGGAGCCAACAACCCATGTTACTCTGTATTTAATATAGTTTTCCTTTAGCCTGGCAATTCTGTTTACTTTATCGGGCGCAGAAAACTGAGGAATAAAGCTGCCTGAGTTACTTTGTATTGAGTCTTGGCGAAGAGAGGCAAAAGTGAGAGTGAGACAGTAGCAGACAAAGTTGAAGAGACACATAAAAGGAGCTATGAAGACAGAGAAAGACCTGAAAGGAATAGAGGTAGACTAAGGAAATGATGGCAGTGGGGGAGCTTTGCATGACTATTCAGAGGAATCATCTCAGTGTGAATAAATTGCTGTTTGGTTTGTAGGATTCTCATTACGTGATTTATTAAATGATTATATATTATATATAATGGTTGTATCTGCCTGAGTAGCTCTATATTCAACAAATAATAATCAACGTGTATTGTTTAGAAGAACGAGACTGTCTATAGCGCAGATAGATGACTCTGCTTGTGTTTATTATTTTATATTTCTGACTCTTTCTTGTTTCTCAGCCAAAGGGTCTTCACTGTTTCCCCTTAATAGGGGTGTCAAGGCAAAACATAGCAGACTTTTTTTCCAGCTCGTCACTGTAGAAACTTTATGCATCCAATTCTTTTTCTATTTACACTTCAAAGAGGTGTGCAAGCATGCAGAGCTACTTTGAGAGAAACTGGATTAAGTTCAAATCCCTAGAAGATGGTTTCCCACTGCTTGTATCTTGGCCTGTCTAATGCTTATCTCTCCAGCTAATTATATACTATAATAAATTCAGTTTTACATCTATAGGGAAGTGCATCAGAACATTTCATGGTTTTTGTTTCTCTGCATGTAGTTCCAAATGTCTACAATTGCATTTAGTTTGAGAGTTTTTACAGAGTGCTTTTAGGGGTAATCCTTGAGATGATGTTTTTAAGCCCTGTGCTTTAATTGCTACTGATTCTGGCTGGATGATGTCTTGGGGTGATGGATCTTTATCTAGCTGATATGGCTTTATCTGGATGATATATATCTTGCTGTTCTGGCACCAGGACAACTAGCATCATGGATCACTATATTGTTAAGCTTGGAGTCTTGCGGCTGTGTATTATTTACTTGTTCCTTGATTTTTCTGTTTATATGAAGACATACTCTCTTGGCCACTAATCAAGCACAACATGGGCCTCATTTGACCAATGACTAGATGGATTATAGTGCTAAATGTTTGCTCTAGTTTTACTTACTTGCTAGCTACTTCCTATGTTTTTTGTGTATTTAGCATGGCATTGTTTCCTCCAATAATATATTTCAGTGATGACTGTACCTGTTGCATTGGTTTAATACATTTTACACACCGATGAGCCATAACATTATGACCACCTGAGCACCCTGGTGGTCATAATGTTCTGCAGCCCCATACCAATAAACTGCTCTGCACAGTGTGTTCTGACCCCTTTCTATCAGAACCAGCATTAACTGTTTCAGCAGTTTGAGCTACAGTAGCTCGTCTGTTGGATCGGACCACACGGGCCAGCCTTCTCTCCCCACGTGCATCAATGAGCCTTGCCCCCCCCCCATGACCCTGTCTCCGGTTCTTTTTTACTTCCTTGGAGCACTTTTGATAGGTACTGACCTCTGCAGACTGGGAACACTCCGCTATATACACACTCCTGAACAAAATCTTAAGACC